CCCGCGGCGGGAGGAGCCGCCGCCGCGGCCGGCCCCGGGCGCCGCCTCCCCCGGCCGCAGCCCCAGAGGAGGCCTCGGCGCGGGATGAGGAGTGATGCGGGCCGGGTGTGCCCATGGCGGAGCCCCCACTCACCCCCGCCCCAGCCCCTACGCGTAATTTAGGGTCAAACCATGTGGGAAGCTTCGCAGCAGGCCCCAGCTGAAAGCGATTAAACAAGGCCCGYGCCTGCTCCCCTGGGAAGAAGGGGCCAAAAACATATCACAAGTTAGCAGGACACCCTTAAAGCCAGGTTTATGCCTAATAACATAACCCTTTTCCCCAATTTTTCTCTGCTAGAGGCTGACCCAGGCCCAGAAGAGAACGGGTTTAAACACCTGCTACAAGTACAAAGCACTCCAAGGAACTAGAAAAATCATGGAATCACAGAATGGTTAAGGTTGGAAGGGACCTCCAGAGGTCACCTAGTCCAACCCCCCTGCACACACAGGGTCACCCAGRGCAYGTGGCACAGGCTGCATCCAACGGGTTTGGGAGATCTCCAGAGAAGGAGACTCCACAGCCTCCCTGGGCAGCCTGTGCCAGGGCTCTGGCACCCTCACTGTTGAGAAATTTTTCCTCAAGTTCCTGTGGAGCTTTTGGAGCTTCAGTTTGTGGCCATTTCCTCTAGTCCTATCAGTGGCCACCACTGAAAAGAGGCCGCCCCMTCCTCCTCACTGCCTCCCTTGAGGTATCTATAGACACTGATCAGGTCCCCCCTCAGCCTTCTCTCCTCCAGGCTGAACAGRCCCAGCTCCCTCAGCCTTTGCTCCTAGGGCAGATGTCCCAGGCCCCTGATCATCCTCATAGTCTCCAGATGTGGCCTCACCAGGAGGTACAGGGGGASGATCCCCTCCCTTGACCTGCTGGAGATGCTCTTCTTAWTGCACCCCAGGATCCCGTTTGCCTTCTTGGCCTCCAGGGCACTGCTGGCCCATGGTCAGTTTGTCATCCACCATGACGCCCCGGTGCCTCTCTGCGGGGCTGTGTCCAGGGTTATTCCTCCCCAAGCGCAGGACCTTGCACTTGTCCTTGTTGAACTTCATGAGGTTTCTCACTGCYTAGTCGTCTAGTCTGTCCAGGCCTCTCTGGATGGCAGCACAGCCCTCAGAACCATCATCTCTTCCTCCCAGTTTCGTATCATCAGCAAACTTGCTGAGAGGTCACTGCGYCCCWTCATCCAGGTCGTTAATGAATAAGTTGAACAGGACTGGACCAAGGACTGACCCTTGGGGGACACYGCTAACCACAGGCCTCCAGCTGGATTCTGCACCCCTGATCACCACCCTGAGCTTTGCTAGAAGCTAAAGAGTTAAAAATTAAAGTCACATTCAAATTAAAAAGAATCAGAGCAACTACTAGTCTAGATATAATATTTCATCCTATTCTATAAGAAATTGCATACTATAAGCACTGCTTGAGCACGCTAGAAAAGTTATATATTAAACTTAAATCTGAAAAATATAACTCTATAAATTATTAACCTTCTCCCTCCCCTTTTTGAGTTACTTACTTGTTTACCAAATTAACTACACATTGCTATAGCTGCAGGTAGGTTGYTTCTTATTTAATAAAATAAAGGTTAAACTGCCCCATGCTGCCCACAAACACAAAACTAAAAAGCTTTCATCCCTCAAAATCCCTGAAAAGAAAATCAATAGAATAAAAAACAASTCATTTTTGAGTTGAATTTAGTGCATTCAGCACTAATATAGGCATGGCAATGACAACAAAAAAACCTACAAAATGTGTTTCTAGAGTAAAGCTTTACCCTACAGAAAGCTGCAGAGCTGCATGTGGAAGATTTATCTCTGTGGGCAGAGCCTTTTTGCTCTCCCATTGGCTTATTTGAAAGTTGCTATCTGATCAGTCAGCATAAATAGCTGAAAGGAGGGAATGGTTGAAAGAACAGCTTAAAAAAAAAAAATAAAATAAAAAATAAAAGCTTTTCTGTTTTCTTTCACTTTTTTTATTACCATTTTTATTTTTTGCTTTCTGTGCATGTTTTTTGTTCAGCTTTTTGCTATCTAAAAAATAAAATGTAGTGTGATTAGGCTTTGCAGAGAGTATATATAGTGAAAGTGATGTGGAARTAGGACTCTTAACCTATCAGACCCATTTTGCTGTATTTTCAATTTAGCTTTTAAAGTTTCTGTACCCTAGGCTGCGAATGGGAGTTCGGTCTACTGAGGAGAGAGATTTCCCCAAATGCAATGAAAAACTATTCATAATTAAACATGCAACACTACCAAATTCCTAGCTAAAAGAAACTTTGGTTAAAGTATGTAGTAATCCATCTAGAAGCAATAGTATTTTTGAGGAAAATAACTTTCTTTTGCTTGTTTGTTTTTTTTTTTTTTTTGCTCTAGAAGCAATAGTATTTTTGAGGAAAATAACTTTCTTTTGCTTGTTTGGTTTTTTTTTTTTGGCTTTTTTTTTCTTCCTCCTGAGTGTGTCTCTGAACACTTAACTCAGCTTGTGAACTTCAGGTTCCTCTAATCTTTCCTTAACAACTTCTCAAGTTAAAATGCAACATCAATGAAGTGCTCCTGTCTCATTCTGAGTAGTTCCTAGCACCTTTTTCTGCCCCTATGAGAAACACAAAGTTGGAGCGTTATCTCTTGCTGCATTAGCCTCACTTCGGTGGAGTTAAGCTTCCAATAGCTGATATATAGCTCCTCTTCAATCCTTCTCCCCTGATCATACGTGTGTGCAGTTGGAGCACTCCTAGCCCTGAACAGGCACATATTCCGAAAGAGACACAAACACCAAAAATCATTCCAGTTAAGAATGAGCTAATCCCTCGTGTGCTTTTTTCTGAATTAAAAATAGCAGGGTGTCTGTGCAGTCTGACTGCGCTAATTGATGCGGTTAAGGGTGTTGCTGGAGGTTTGGAGGAGGTTTCTTAATTGTGTCTGCTATGCAGGAATGGGGCCTGAAGGAGCATGCTGAGCCCTGGAAGAAAACAAGGAGTTTCTGCAAATCATCCAGCTCTTCTCACCCTGCTTCTAAAAATCAGTCACTTAAATGTGTATTTTTGGATCAAGGCTTGCTRTGGGTTTAGCAGTGGGGCTGTAAAATGTTCATCGGTCTGGGAAATGACATTGGCCTTCCTAAAGGTAGGAGGGTAACAGCCTATTTGGGGAAAGAGCTGCACAGATACTGCAGACCTTGATGCACATCCAGGAGAGATTTGCTGTCTCCCACTTTCTCAGCTGCATCTGAGCCTGTGCTTTATGTTTTGTCTCGAAACTTTTAGCTATATCAAGAAATTAGTAGGTAGTGCATGAGGCTGGGAAGGCTGGCTGCTCTAGCTGTGACCTTGGCGGCTGATCAGTCAGGGCTCTCACTCTGTTCTTGGCTTGCAGTGCACAACCGGGCAGGTTTGCATTCAAAGTCCTTCATCAGAAGCATTGCAACATTCATCTGTTGCAACGGTGAAAGTACGTCAAGACCTGAGCAATATCTAATGCAGAACATGAATAAAGTGATCAATTCTTGTTTAACTTTTGCTTAACACAGAACAAAGCAGTGAACGGAATGGGGGGCAGAGGGGAAACCCTATAGGTTTTTGAGTTCCATGGCATTATTTCACCACAGATGAGATGATGAGATGACCCTATTTTCCATCCTCCTGGTTGGACTGTGGTTACAAGTGTGGGTATGTTCATCTAGTGATCTCCAGAGAGCTGTGCCCTCCAAAGAGAAGTTGGAGGGAACTGTCCTTTATAACAAGTCAAGGAGGTTGGTGGGTATTTTGTGCTGGAGCTCCTGTGTGTGAAAGTATTACTGGTTGAGAGGAAAACCAAATGAGAAAACAATAAACTTTTGTCCTGTGTGGTCTCAGTATGGGGAAGTATCCTGATTGTAGCCACCTGTGGAACCTTCCTGAGGTTTTCTTAACTTAGCTCATGTTCTTCCCATCTGTATCCAAACTTTCAGCTAAGTTTGGAGGGAGCTTTGTTAGACCAACTTAACTGGTTGGCAGGAGTAGTGTTACACTTGAATTCCAGATCTGCATCTGTAAAGAAGCAAAATCTTTTCGGAGTTTCCCCCTTTCGTGCTCCTCCAAAGCACTGATACAGCTTTCCGAATTACCAGAGAACCTGGAAGGATGTCCCCAGATGGAGCCAATGCTGAGCACAGCGCCCATGCCAGGAGGTCTTTCCCGGAGGGATGCTTCCTCCTGGACGAGGCTTATTTAGATTAGCTACACAGTCGAGAGAAACTGTTGGTGTTTCTCCATCCCAGTTCTTTGCCAAAACACTCCTAGTCTGCTAGGTGTGAGAAGACTGCAAGATAACGTGATGCTGTGATTCTGTGAGAGCATTACCCCAAAGCATTAATTAAATATTTCGATTTAATGCCTGCAGAAAACTTCGCCCTTCCTTAGGTGAATATTACCATAGGAATGTAAAGCCTTGTTACAAAATGATTTCAGGTGATTGTATCTGCATCCTGTAGCTGCTGAATTTCTATGTACAGGAGCAGCACTTGAATGGCACCCAAGTCAATAAGATTTGGATTATAAATATATTTTTACTGCAGACACACATACATAAAGAATAATAGACAGATGAGCTTCTTTTAGTGTGAATGACTGTCAATATTCTTTCTTTGGGATTATGCAACCTATTCAATAACTCCATTTTTTAGACATATATTGTGGAGTGCTTGTACAAGACCTGAAGTTTAATTAGTTTTTTTTTCTCTTCCTTTCCTCAGTATTATTGATGTGAATGCTCAAATGCTCAAATTAATTTTTGTCTAGTAGGGTGAGCCTGACAAGCATAAAATAAAGGCACCWTCCCAGATTAAAATTCCACTCATTYTAGTTGCTCTTAAACCAGACCACCACAGAAATAAAATGGTCCCTTCTTGATAATCCTGTTTGCCATTTAAATCCCAACTAGGGGGAGATTGTTGTGGCCGAGAACAAATTGCAAAGAACTCTTRGTCTATCTGATTTCTTCTGCTTTGCAAAACCAAAAAAAAAGGGGGGACGRGATGGAAATGAGATTATTGAATGTAATCAGGTTAAGGCTAAAGAAGGGAATGTATCTGGGGGGGGATCAGCAGTCTGCTGGTACCAAAGAACTATGTGGAAAATCTACCTTAAAGGRCTAATGCTGCTGTGTTGCTGATTTAATAGGAGTGGGTAAAGGCTTTAGAAATATCCTGGGTGCTGGCGAGAGAAGCCTGGGACGTGAGGGGGCAGCCGGAGCAGGGAGGGGGTCTGGGATGGGTGCAGCTTGTGGTGACTTGCAGAGCCCCGGGCGTTTGGGCAGGGCTCCTTAGAGCACAGGACTTGATGCAACTGCACCTACCACCTCTGCCACGGGCTTAGTGCTGTTTGCACCGAAAAACGATGCTGAAGGAAAAAGCCCTGAAGGGCAACGAGCCTCTGCTCAGAGCAGACTCTCTAAAAATGCCCAAGTTGGTTCTTGTCGTTTGACTTTAAGGTTTCCTGGGGCAACCCGGGCGTTTAATGYGTGGCTTTCTAGGCCAAGGAACAAAGATGATGCAAAGGAACAACCAGAGCTGGAAGTGGTGAGGTTGCCTTTTCTAAAGGGGTTTTCTTAAGCCTGTCTGTTTTGTTCACAAGCTCTGGCAGAAGCTTTCGCCCCACTTGGGATGCTTGTGAAGGCCGATCCCCTCTGGCTTTTTTGGACCCCATAAGCTCTGATGCCTCTGTAGACCGCCTGGAGCRGATAAGGTCTCCTCTCTACTCATTGCTTATTTTCATATATGTTTTTTTAGTCACTTTATTGTCGTGGAAGCATCTATGGCTTGGTGAAATGCGATTCCGATTAGTTGCCGAGATCAGTGGTGCGAGGACAGATGCATATGCCAGGACTGTTTTAAGCTTGGCATTTAAAAAAAAAAGAAAAAAGTGCTATTTCTTGCCGAGATGAGTGTGGTGATGAAATGAGAGTTAAAAACGAGGGATCCTAATCGGACATTTCCTCTTTTTGTTGCAAAAAAAAAAAAAAGAAAAAAAGCGAAAATAATGCAGGGAGATAGAGAAAGGWCTCGTTGCTCTCAGGAATAGTGGCGCAGATCGCCCCGCAGGCTCTGCAGATGCCTGGCAAACTCGTGGCCTGCTTGCAGGTGCTGCATTGTCCCGGGGCGGGCGAGTGCAGCTGCTGGCTGGTTCCTGGTCGACGCGAGCGCGTGCAAATCTATGCAGGTCCCCGGTCAGCTGCTGTGCTGCCGGGGGCTGCTGGAGCTGCAGCCGTGCATTTTCCAGGCTTCAGCTGCATTACAATGTGTGCGTGCGTGCACGCATGAGCCTTCTGCACGGATCTGCAGCACGTGTGTCACGGCGGGCGAGCGCAGAAAAACAGCTCTCCCGAGCACGCCCCTCCTATTCCGGGATCAGAATTGCTCCGGGGAAAGCCRGAGACACTCCTCCCGCCTCCCTGCCAGGGCCGCGCCGGCTCCGGCGCGCTCAATGGGCCTCTGCTGCTCGGTCTTTCCGGCAGGTTCCGTTTCCTTCCCCTGCTTTCATTTAACCAGCGAGGAGCATGGCCTATGCTGAGGAGGAGAGGTAAGAGGCTGTCAGATGCGCAGAGGTGGAAGTGGAGAAGGGGCTGCGCAAGCGGCGTTTCRCCTCGCGCCGCTCTGCTTTCCTCCTGGGCACTCCATAAATGTCAGGCGCAGGATGCTTGGGAGTAAACATCTTATTATTGAGGAGGAATCGGGCCATCTGCCGCTGTCAGGTGCTGGGATTATGAAATATGGCCATGAGCAGGTGACCTTGGGGAAGGTTATGGGACAGAAGATGCGGGAAGAGGCAAATGCGCTTGTGCGAAGCGCAGACGGAGATGCACACGCTGCAAACACATGGACCACTGTGGCCCTCTCCAAAATGCGGTGCTTTATCTGTTAGTGGGGTATAAATCTGCTTTTTGCATGAGTTTGCTTTCCGCTGTCCGAGAAGCACGGCAGCAAGTTTCTCTTTCTTTTTCACTTGCCGTAAAAGATTTATCATCGACGCCAATCCTGCGTTTCGCAACAGATGCGTCTCTTCGGTGGATGGCGGCAGTATATACCATGAAGCACAAAGAAGGGGATTGTGCTTTCAGCTGATCCTGTGATTTAATCCAAAGCTGGGCTACTGAGCACTATTATTAGGTGGGCATTGCAGGCGGCAGAGCGGCTGGAGGGGGACTTTGTGCTCCAGCCATTAATGCTCGCTGCCAAAAAGCTCGCGGAGACCTCGGGGTCAAGCGAAATACTGTGTTTGCTGACCCATGGGCTGAACCCTCCTTCCTCCCCACTGGGCAAATGCCTTTGTCCTTGGGTGCAGAGATTCTCAGTTCCCGCTCCTCCCCTTTGCTGGGCACCTGGAAAAGCAATTATTGCAGAGTGGGCACCCCAAATGATTATTTTTAGGTGCCTTTATGGCATTACTGAGCGGTTGCGTGCTCAGCACCAGAGACAGCTCTGGGATTTGGGGGAGCATCTGGGGGCTAAAATGGCTTTAAAGGCCCTTTTCTACTTGCCGTGGCTCCTCAGGCAAGTAGCATTCACACAGGATGGGAGTTTCACCCCCCACTTTGATAGGAAATATTTTCTTTTAGAAGGAAAAATTCCCCTGTAACTTAGTGCAGCTCAGTGAATCCCCCTGTTTTCAGCTGTCCTTGAATCAGATCTATCCCAGACTCTTAATTTATGTGAGTATGGGAATGTTTTTATGCTCTTTTGCAAGGAGGTATTTTCTTTTCTTAAGAAATACACAGCAAACATGCAAGAAAGGAGTAGGGAGTAAATGAAAGACCAAGTATATGATGACCTCAGTTCTTCCCTCATGTCTTTTGCAAGGGCCTAATGAGCTTGGCTATTGCATTTCAACACTCATGGTTCTTTCAACTCTAAATAAGAGTTGTAGTTTCTCAGAGGAGAAAGTATGAGGAAACAGTCGTTAATTTCCGTAAAGCACTTGAAAARTATTTGTCTGGGAGAATTATAGCTTGGGAAAGTGATATGGACAGGCAAAGGCAGGATTGGTTAATATTTACCTACATTTTCTTTGTTTTAAGAGCCTGGAGACAGCAAGTAGGGAGAATTCAGCGTTAAGTTCTAGTAAATAAACTTGCATTTCCAGGTATTTCCTTTGAAAAGTATTTCTGCTGCTTAGGACTAGGACTTTCCATTGCAGTTCATGAGTACGGCAGGGTTTTTGTGCAGAGCATGAGTTTGTGACATCCGCTACGTGCATGACATCTCTTTTCCCAACCAAGGACATGGTTTGGATGTCACTGACATTGGCCAGGAGCTGAGAGATGCAAAGCTTGCTGCAGATGCCCACATCTCCTTGCTGCATCAGGATCAAGAGAAAAGTGGCTCTGGAGTTAATGTTCTGCACTTGAATGTGATGTGCCCACTGGAGGAATTAGACATGCACCATGTCTAATAAGCATTTAAATCCTGCTCGTTGGTTGTCTGAGGTCTCCTGGAGCACAGAACAGCTCTCAAGCATTTTGCCTATGTGCTCTAGAGCTGCAGAAAGCAGAATCCTTGTTTGAAGAAGGCTTGTTCTGCTGGACACAAGAGATGATACCTCTGGAAAAAGAAACACTGAAGAAGCAAACGCTGCTTATCAGGGTCTCCAGGCAATTTTGCATCCCCTCCACCCTTGCAGTATCTGATCTTTTCACTCCTTAATAACCAGATGGGTTTTTATATGCATAAGATGTTCCCCTTATTTGGGAGAGTTTGCTGTGTGACCCAGCCCTCCAGCAAATACCCTGATTAATTTTCTTCAATGGAAACCACTGCTGTCAAGAAATGCTATCGGGAGCCTGACTTTTGAAGGGAATTTCGGGTCAATCTTGATACCGACTTTCTGAAAGTATCTTCATTGTGCTATTGGAAACAGGATTATGGGCTTATTCTTCTGTTAACTGTATTTCCAAACTAATAGATGCAGCTGAAGAATGCTGGAGTGACAGGGCTAGAAGTGGAGGTCCACTTCTTTCCATGAAAGGACTACAAAACAGGCCCCGTGATATCACCTCCTCCCATCCCACCTTCTAGCAATGTGAGTCACTCAGCAAGGAGCAGCCCTCAAGAAACCAAATAAGACAGACCCAGGAGCCCAAATCCCTGCTTTTGACTTCAGCTTTGCTGCAGAGTTGGCACCGGGCTCTTGCTTAGGGTAGACTGTGCATGTGAACCACTGCCCACAWGGGAAAAGAAGGGCTGAGCAAGGTCTCTGCATCAACCTCCACCTCTGAAGTCAGGAGGGTTTGAAAAAGTGGATGTTTTGGAAGTGTTTTCCCCATCAGATCTCCATAGAGGATGTGTGGCCACCACCCTGCATGGGAGAGCCACCCAGCCACRTCATGCAGATGCCCGGGCACTTGCATCCTCCTGTCTTCCCCATGCCAGGTCAGACATCCCCACGCACTGACCCACAGCTCACAGTTGCTCAGAATAACTATGTTTTGGCTTCCCTTCAGCAGCTCTGGAGGGAGCAGCGCTCATCAGAGCACCGATGCTTATACCCGGTGACACTTCTGCAGTAGAGGTATCATTAGCTGCTTTTTCGCTGTAGGATGAAACTGGCACAGAGGATTCAAATGATTTGCCTGCGGCCGGAGCTAAAATACGAGATTAAAAGTGGTTGCTATAGAGAAACATCTGTAATAATAGCAGAGAAGCTTCTTTCAGAAAAGGCAAAGGGTTTTTGTACTTTCTCAGGACTTTCATCCTTCAAAGTTTGYTCTTTGGATGGGCCGATATCCTCACTGACCTGTTCTCCTTCTGCAGAAATTGCTATGAGGTGTATAAGGAAACGGCAGACTGGTTACGAGCCCGCACCCCCCGGCCCCCCAGGACTGCCATCGTCTGCGGGTCTGGCCTGGGAGGCCTGGCTGATGCGCTGGATAACAAGACCATCTTTCCCTATGAGGACATCCCTCACTTCCCACGGAGCACAGGTTAGCACTACCCAGGGCATCTCGGTATTTGTAAGAGCTGTTCAGGGCCCCATTGGCCGTATTTTACTGAGCCTGATGTCATCTCCTTGAAGCTAAGGCAGCTCAAATTGGCATACGCAACGTGTGTCCTGCTCTTGGCTCCTGGCAACAAACAGGCCTTCAGTGGTGAAAGGAGCATCTACAAAGCCATATCTTGACTCCAACATCTTCTCCACGAGCCCCCATCCCAAATGATCTGTCATTCTAGGCAGTAGCTGTGAAATAACAACCCAGAAAGAGTTTATACTCCATCCTAGTTGGATGGAAATTCAAGAAATTGTACGATTGCCAACTAGTTTTCACCTGCAGGCTGCCAATACAAATTCATCCTTGGCTGCTTATTCCTGATATCCTCTGAGTCTTCAAGGCTCAATGAGAAATGATGYGTTCTTGGACCAAGTGCCTTTGAGCAGAAGTGAACATCTGGGAAGCCCTCTTCGTGGGGCTGACCCTCTCCTGGAGCTCTTGGCACAGCCTTGTGTCAGATTTTGCAGAACGTGATGAAAGCTGCTGAACCTTTTTCCCTTCCAAAAAGCTAATAAACCACCCAAGGTGTTTCTGTGTGTAGCCACGGGTGTTTATACCAAACTTCCCTCTCCTGGTTTTGCTTGGCTCTGCCATTGCGTATCAGGATCACCTGAGRAACCCTGCTGAGCTCCCTGAATTGAAGCCCTGTGGCTGCACTGTCACATTTTTCATTTATTTCCAGTCTCGGGGCACGTGGGCAGGCTGGTGTTTGGGGAGCTGAACGGCCACCCGTGCGTGTGCATGCAGGGACGCTTCCACTTCTACGAAGGATACTCCATCAGCGCGGTGAGTTTTCCATATATAAATCATTTACAGAGCAGCAGATGCAGTTTTTAAAGCCAGGCAGAGGGACTGGTCTTTACTTTGGAACTTTGGTCTCCAGCTGCAGGAAGACAACTCTTGCAATGAGCATTAAAACAGTGTACGCTGAGATTACGGGCCCTTCCCAAAACGAAAAAATTGGGAATTCCAATTCCCAATTCCCAAAGTCTGCCAGCTTTGGCCAGGTGAAGTTGATGCCAGGCCGGCGCACAAGCTGGTTACCTGCCCTATGATCTCAGGGTGAAATAGTATATCATACCAGACAGATTAATTTACTGCTTCMACTTGCTCATTGGAATCATGATTTAAATCAACAACCAGGAAACTTGGAGTCATGAAAATAATCTGCTTTAATCTTCTTTTGCATTTCTGTATTTTAGGGTTTTCTCCTCACACAGAAAAAAATATCATCGGCTGGTATAGTTTGGAATATTCTCCCAGTTAAAATTCAGAAACTATATGCAATTTTAAATGCTTATATAACCTAATGTGCATGTTTACAGATTTCTGTTAGAAAATGGAAATATTGTTTCTTATTTACTGTATGCTGGTTTTGTGGCTTCTTTTTTATTTGCTTGGGTTTGGGTTTTAGCTTGTGGCTCAGGGCAGTTTGCGTTTGAGTATAAATTGTGATACTTGGCAGCACTCTTGCCTTTCAATAAAACAAAGCTATTAAATGTTCATGATATAAAAATAGGTTTATCAAAGCATGTTTTTCAATTAAAATTTGCTCACTTTAATAAGTGACGTTTGTGGGAAAGAAACATCACTTACTAAAGTGAGTTTGGGAGTTACTGTTTCTTGCAGCTTCTTTAGCATTTTGGAACTAGATGATCTTTGTCATTCCTTTCCGCTTCCTTCCTTCCTTTCTTGATTTTTTTTCAGTTCCCCATAGTTCCATGACTTGGATAAGCTGATCTTTGCAGAGAACTAATGTGAATAAACTGAAATGAAGAGTAACCTCTATTCCTTGTTGCTGTAAAAACCTGATTGATCAGTTAAGCTCCAGGACCATGTGCATTAGCAGGTACCTAACCAGCGCAGTGGCTTGAGTTCTGCAGCACTTTAGGAGCAAGGAAAAAATATCTGCATGTCCTTTCTGTGCTCTGCTTATTCATTCTTAGTGCAGCTTTAGCTAATTGGGCCTGAATTTTAAAGGCACTTATTTCAAAATTAGTCTTGAATACATTTCAAAACCATTTAAATGGGGTGGAGRGTTTTAAATAAGCCTATAGGGAGGCAATTCAAGCTTCATATAAATTCCTCACTGCCCATAGAGAAGGGAAATTCCTTGCTGAGGTGCATGGAGACGTTTAGTTCTCCTCCCCATAGCACGAGAGGCTCAGAAGTAGACCTTTTAATTAAGAAGGTGGCACTTTTGCACAACATTCTTATGTGAGGATCTACAGAGGTAAATTGAGAAGTGAATCTATGGAATCCAGGTAGACTAAGATGAAGGAGGACAATTGCAAAGACTGTTTCTCTCTCCAAAGCTGAGCAGAACACTCGTATTCTCCAACCTCCCCTTCTTGGCTCCCCAAGAGGGTAATTGCTCCCTGCCTCAAACCTCCTGCACTTTCTTTCTCCTCTCCATCCTTTATACCCTCTTAATGCTGTTGCTCACAGTTGCATCTTTTCCTGCTGCTGCTCTTTTTAATTGATCAAGGGCAGTTAACTAACTACCTAATGACTGTTCCCCCTCTGTTTCCATCACAGCTCCATCCCTTTCTGAAAAGATGCAAGAATGGAAGATAACATCAATTTATCTAGTAATCCCACGTATGCAGAGATAAACCCAGCACAGTGCTCCTGGAATACCAAGCAGCTTGGAAAACTAAACTGATATTTCTTGCACAGATGTCTTTTTTTTGTCTTTGATTCTGCAGGTCACCTTTCCCATCAGGGTGTTCTGCCTCCTGGGGGTTGAGATCTTGATTGTCACAAATGCTGCCGGGGGACTGAATCCCCACTTCCAAGTGGGAGACATCATGTTCATTCGGGATCACATCGGCATGTTTGGCTTGGGAGGGCAGAATCCCCTGCGAGGACCAAATGATGAGAGGTAAGGATGCCTCCTCCTGTCCCAAGCAGGGCAACACGTGCCTGCAAGAGCAGAAGAGCATTTCTAATGTGTTTATGGCAGATGTGTAGCATTAGCCTAAAGTGTCTGTGTAGTAGATTCCTTGCAGACTTGCAGCACGTTTCTGTCACTGGCCCTTGCTCCTATTATGCTCTATTTCCTGCTGTTCCCACTTGAGTTTCCATCATACTATGGCAAAACACATCTTCCCTAGATCCCTGCTTGACCCCTCAGCCTCTGTATTRTCAAACTGCCCTTTCCAGCACTGGCCACGGGCTGAGACCACCAGTTGCACCAACTGGCAAGTAGTTACTGAGATCCAGATACGACCAAGGGAAAAGCTAAAGCAGTAACTGGGTGTGCGGTGCCACCTGTCCTGCTTTCCCCAAGCACCTGCCCTGCTTGTTGCTTCTCTTGTTAAGTCTACAAGGAGTTTACAGGCAGATCTCCAGAAACTCTAATCTTCACCRTGTTGAGGGTCTTGGGGATTAAATCTGGTAGGAAGGATGGAAGTGCCTGATGGCAAGGCTGGGGTGAGACAGTCTATATTCAAGGCAGGTCTGCCCTTACTCTTCGCTTTTTTTTACCAAGCAACGACCATTCCTGATCTTTGCTGGAGGAAAAGCAGTAGCGATGTCAGCACGACCATGTCCTTTCCTGCCTTTCAGGTTCGGAGTGAGGTTTCCCTGCATGTCAGATGCCTACGAAGAGGAGCTGCTCAGCCTGGCGAGGGAGAGCGCGCAGGAGCTGGGCTACCCAGCCTTCATCCGAGAAGGGGTCTACTGCATGCAGACAGGTCCCTGCTATGAAACCATCGCCGAGTGCCGCATGCTGCAGGCCCTGGGAGCAGATGCTGTAGGTGGGTCTGGCCCCGCAGTGTCATTTGGGCACTAAGCAATGGGTTAAGCAGTGCCCTTGGCCCCAGGCAGCCCTCCACAAAAGTCGTTGTCCTTTCAGAGCAGCAGTCACGGAAACTTTCCCAACAGCGTGTGAGGAAGGTAAGCGTTATGATCCCCGTGATTTCTCCAGCTGGACACCCTGGAGACTGCGGCAACTTGTGGATGTCTCTTCATTAAAATCTGCTCAGAAGAAGCTTCATAGAAAGGATAGCAGGGCATGCACTGAAGATGGGAGAGTGGTTTGGTGCTTTAGAAGGATTTTGGTGTAATCCTGACCTTTCTGACTCATCCTTGCCCTTTTCTCTTCTCCCGCAGGCATGAGCACAGTCCCAGAGGTAATCGTAGCCAGACACTGTGGCCTCAGAGTCCTTGGGGTCTCCCTCATCACCAACAAAGCTGTGATGAGCTACAGCAGTGAGGAGAAAGCCAACCACGAGGAAGTCCTGCGCATTTCGGTGGTCCGGGCTGAGGCCCTGCAGAAATTGATCACTTGCTTTGTTGGCAAGTTGGGCGAAAGCGCAAAATCGCCATGATCTCCAGCACTGGATCTGTCTCTCCTGCAGCTCGCCTGGTGATCCTGGAGCTCATGGTCCTAATGTGTGACCACTAGCAAGGGTTGGGGCGGAGCTGTGGGTGAGATCATTTCTTTCTGTTCTCTGACTTCTGAATATACCTTTGATCTTTGTCCCTGTGGCTTAGTTGGTGAGGCACAGAGGTGTACTTTGAAGTTTGCCAGGATGAAGCCCTCATTAGTAGCCAGCTCCCTTTTTATCCTGCCAGGGGAGGCCAAGACGGCTTTCTGGCACTCACAGAAATGCAGCCTCATGAGCTCTGGCCAATCTCCAGCTCCAGTCCCCCTCTTTCCTCTGCAGAGCCTTCAGTGTCTCAGCTGTGCATCCCTTCCTCTCTGTGCAGCTCTCCTGCTGTGTTTCTCTCAGCACCGTGCTGAGCTCCTGCCTGGTAATGCAGCTCGAGAGGCCGAGGGCTGGACTCAGGGTATGGTGGCTGCCGGGGTCACTCTGCTAGGACCTCACCCAAAGCCAGGAGAAGTCCGCAGGAGACTCTCAGGTTTGGATGAGGACCTAGATACATAAAATGGGTTAGACAACAAGATCGATCTGGAGCAGATGATAATGCCCCGTAGGCAAATTACAGATGATTTTATGGCTTTGAAAGCCATTGCGTGCTGAAGGGGTTGTATTCCCCTAACATCCGTGAAGGTCTCACCAGAGAGCCCTCTGTTCCCTTCCCAGATGGGCTGTGGAGCCATGTTCCTGCCAGCTACAGTGTGCGCGACATGTCCTCCTTGCCCCTCACCACACCATTGGCAAGGCTGCCCYGTTTTACAGACATCACTGCTGTCTTTTCTTGAGGAAATCGAACCGATCAGCAAGTGAAGAACAAACAAGAGAGGCCACCAAATCCTCTTTCACCCGTAGGCCACTCCTCTATCGGGTATAGTCCATGGTGAATATTCACCAGGATTATTCAGTATTCCCCAAAGGCAGAGCTGAGTAGAGGAAGCAATTGGTATGAAACAACAGGCGCTGGCTTGCAGCCTGTAATCGTTGGGCAGCCTTTTCTATTCACTTATCTTGGATTTTCCTGTAGAGCCTGTCATAGTCAAATGTTTTCAGATGACAATGATCTGAAGACACCCATGGTGGAAAGCTGTGAACTTGAACTAAAGTCTGCCTAACCTATAAGTCCTCTGGAGATGGAGGAGTCCTTGGAAATCCATCTGCCAGCCAAGTTGCTGTCTCAGYGCCTCGTCACGCTCCATCTGGGTCTCTGTGACAGCACCTCTTTCTGTTTCACGGGTCTGAATCTCAGGGACGGTTCTGATCGTGGCCATGGGCGAAGAGACTCCAGCGCATCCTTCCCTGGACCTGTTGCCTGCTCGGGTCTAGCAGGACTGCATCGCTTGTCAACAGCAAGTAAAGATGAAAAGCAGCAGATGTACAGAGAGAAAGGAGCACTTTTGCCTTTTGAGGCTGCAAGTTGACCCAGTACGTGCTTGTTGCAGGGCCAAGAAAGAGCAGGTCTCTGAGGAGAAGTGCTTCACATCCATCTAATTAATACTCCATAAATATGATGTCCCTCAAGTGAGAGACGCAGGCGGCTCTGTGGTTGGCTGTAACTAGCGAGCAGCCAGGGTAGCTAAGGCTGGGATTTCATCTGGCTCCATTAATTAATTGGGATCCGGCTCGACTGGATCTTGATGGGAGGTATCCGCRAAGCTGCTGCTGTGCTGCTCTTCCTCGGGCTAGGCAGGAGATTAGAGGAGTCCAGCAGAAACATCTGCCTTTGGGCCCTGGGTACGCTCCCTCAGCCACGGATAGTGCTAGATAACCACCTCCCAGCCCTTCCTAGGGATGGGTAACRGCTACTGGCCTCCCTGTGAGAACTTCTTGGGGGGAAAAGCAGATATAAAAATACCACAGGCTTGTACTTGAATACAACTCAAAACTTAATCTGAAAATTTCAATATGCTTGCAGAATCCCACCTATTTTTAAAGAAGTGTCTTTGAAATAACCTTGGAGCCCATTAAAAGCTGGAGGCCCTTCTTTCTACTGGTAAAGGCAGCTTGAATTCTGTGTGAGCATGTGGATTGTTGGCCCTGTTGAATAATGAGATGGACTGTGGAAGCTTTGGAAATCCTGGGATGTTGTTGGTATCTTGGAAGAGAGGGGGAGGGATACAATTCACAAGCAAGTTTGTCTCTCTGCCTTTGGAGTTCTCTGTAATCCAATGTTCTGTTTTTACTGTTGGCAAAGTTGCAGAATGATGAAATGTGGGTTTTGGGGAGGAAATAAACCTTGCTGTGCTACTGAAAGCAACGTGCTTGTGTTCGGTGCTCAGGGCGCTGAAGGCTCAAAAGGAGGGAATTGCAGCCTGGAGGACAGAGCAGCAGCATCTGCTCCAGGAGGGTTAGGACCATGCTCCGAGTGGTGCTTAGAGCAGAGACTTCCTTGTGCCGCCGATCCATCCGGGAACGGGTTAGAGGAGAAAGGGCCAAGTCTTCCAAGAAAGATGCCCCAGCAGGTGGTGCGCAGGTGGAAGGCAGTGGGGCACGCACCTGCRCAGCGAGTCCTTGATGCTGGAGATGGGCACCCAAGCACCTCTCACCTGCGATCCTGGGGCACCGGGCACAGCCGTGATTCTCTCAGTAGATGCTCTGATTTTTGCCAAGTCTTTTTGCTGCTTTCAGGAGACATCCACTGCTGGGATAAGCAGCACAGCCGAGAGCCTTGGCGTCCCTTCATTCTCATTTTTCACCCAGCTTATTTCCTCTGGAAATTCTGGCTTCTGTGGTCAAGGAGTTAACCTGAAAGATGCTCAGAAAGATAACTTGCTGTGCAAAGCTCCGTTTATCAGGACCTTTCTCTTGCAGACAAATCACTGCTTGTGCTCCTTTGAAAAGCACTGAAGTAAATGAAAAAGCCTTTTTTTCTTTTCCTTTTAAATAAAAAAAAAAAAAAGCTTTAACCGATCATAGCTTTTGCCTTCAAGTTATCAAAGTTGCTTTAGACATTTCTTACCAGAAACTTGCATGAGGTAAGGGGTTTTTTTTTTCCCCCTAAATTTTTTCCTCTTCTCCATAAAAAAAAAAAAAAAAAAAAAAAAAAAAAAAAAAAAAAAAGGTTAAGGTGTCACTGCAAGTTCTTAGGGCACTAGCAAGAATGAAGCCTTTCCCCACCTTGCTGTACAAGGCAGCCTGGCTTTACAAGCTGAGCTGGCCTGGGGGGTTCCAAACCCTCATGACATTCTCAAGAGGAGCTGGTTAATGGTCCCTGGACGTGCTGGTGACCTTTGGAGGCTCCATCTGCCCTTGGCTTGGTATCAAGCATGAGTGCCGGGGTGTGGGTAGGTCCCTTGGATGTGGTACCTGCCCTACCCCTTTGGTCTTGGCTCCTTTGGGCAGCCCAGGCCCTCTTCCTCAGCTGCACTGACCTGGGCAGCTTGGGGACCAGGGCTGCAGAATTGCTCCCCAGCTCCGGTTGCATCCGAGCCCTGCGCATGGCCGAACTTCCCWGGTTCCTTCTTATCTTTAACTAAGCGCTTTTACTGGCCAGAGCATCTCTCTGGATTTTTTTTTCTCTTCTCCCCGTAGCCATGGCAACGTGGTGCCCCCTTCTCAGGAGCCAGCGACCTAACCCACATGTTGCTTCTTCTTGGGGGTCTGGAAATTTCCTGGAGCTTTTGGGACCAAGAGGGATCGAGGAAGCAAGTCCCCCCCAGCCTGGTAGTACCCCTGAGAGAGGGGGTGTGAGGTGCAGCGTGGCCACCCGACGTAGCGCTCGGGCGCTCCGGAAAAGCTGTCCGCGAGCAGTGGTGCAATGGCAAGGGTGATGGGACGGATCCTGCCTGGCCCTTGGAGGCTCCACAAAGACGAAAGAGAGTGGTCAGAGGGCCTCGCTCCGCAGGACGGAGCCGCTTCCGCCGCCCCTTGCACCCGGCCCAGAGTGTCGCTCGCTCCAGGTGACACAGGGCTGGTGACACAAGGCTGGGCTGCATGATGGGGAGGAGGAGGCAGGAGGACAACGGACAAGTGCGCGGAGGACATAGGTGCCATGGTGACCCAGTGCAGGGATGCGGTGCAGGGAGAGCCGGGGAGCAGCGACAAGGGGGGGTGACACGGGTGAGACAGGCAGTGATGCAGCGACACGGGGAAGGGGGCAGGGACGAGAGGGAGGGTGACAGGGGCAGGGTGGGCGGGTGGCACGGA